CACGGGCGACTGGAGCAACTGGCGCACTGGCTACCGGAGCAAGGGCCCCGGATTACTGGAGTAACTGGCTCTGCGGCTAAGACGAGCGGCTGGAGCAACGGACCCACCGACTGGCGCAACGGGCTTGCTAGCTACCGGAGCAAGGGCATCCGGACTACTGGCGCTGCTGGCTCCACAGCAGCTACCTCCGTTCAACCTCCCCCCATTGCCCCCAACCCCTTTCTCACATCCCCCCCGGCTAGCGCCACTCCCCAACCTCACCCACTCCATCCCCCCCTCAGTGGAAGCTGCAACAGTGGGAGAGAGAGGAGGAGGAGGGGCAGCTGGTCACGCACTCCCACCACCCCCATACCCCCCCTTACCCCCATACCCTCCACACGGCTGCACGCGCAGCAGGAAGTCGAAAGAGGAGGGGGGAGGGCGGGCGGCGTCGCGACGTGCAGGGCGCGGGCGGGCTGTGGGGCGCTCGCAACGGGCAGGGCGCGGGCGACAGGCGGGTCCAGGAGGGGCGGCGCGCGGGTCCAGCGGGGCAGTACGCGGGTCGAGCAGGGGCGGCGCGCGGGTCCCGCAGGGCGTCGCGCGGGTCGAGCGGGGGCGGCGCGCGGGTCCCGCAGGGTGTCGCGCGGGTCCAGCAGGGCGCGCGGGTCCCGCAGGGCATCGCGCCGGTCCAGCGGGGGCGGCGTGCGGGTCCCATGGGGCGGGGCGCGGGTCAGGTGGGGCGACGCACCGAGCAGGGCGCGCGGCGGGCAGGAAACCGCCACGCGCCCCGAGCGCGTGGCGGGCAGAAAAAACGTCGCGCGCCACGGGGCGCGCGATAGACAGTACAGCAACGGAAGCAGGTGGGCCCACAGGCCAGGAGCGTAGACGCTCTGATAGCATGTCAAGGTAGCAAGGAGGAATGAGAACAGCAGAAGAGGGGTTTCACTAGCAAGCAATGGAATACATATAGCAAACCCTAGCAGGCAGGCCCCTAGATTCGTTTTGAGGCACGCTGATCGATGAGCGTCCACCCCTGTTGGAGCTCTGTGAGTCAGTGTGGCCACAATTTTTTAGGCTGAAAATTCAGACAACCCAAAGATTTTAGGCTGAACTTTCAGTGTGAGGTAAAAATTAAGCTCATCATGTCTACTCATAAAAACATTAGTATTGAACATATCATATGTCTGTTTGCAGGGAAGGTGCGGTGGGGTGGATGTTTGTGGCGAATATTTGCTGTGTCGTGCGAATTGCAGTGTCAGGGCGAATCTGCAGTGACCAGTCAAGCGGGAACCACTTGACCCCAAAATCTGACAAACACATACAAGATCTGGCCGAATACAGTATCTGATACGGTACTCCAGACACAGAAAACAAAATTTTCCGATGAATCAAACGGAGGACCCTGGCGTGCTGCGAGCCATGCGTTGGTAACTAGTCTTGCCAACGCTGCCTGCTGCCTGCTGCGCAACACGAATCTTGCCCCGATTGGTCGGATTTGCATCTGAGCGCAATTGTGCGGTGCCGCGCGAGGGAAATTTCGATTTCTCGCTCGTGATTGATTGTGTTAGTACAGTGTACTGGGACTAACACGGTCCTAGTACAAGGCTGAGTGCACAGCCTACACTCCTACAAAAACGGACAAGGTTAAAAAAATACACTGAAAAATCAGCCAAGGTACATAACAAAAAACTTTGGATTCAGCCTACCCCTAAAAAAAAAGCCTGATCTAATGCTGAATCAGCGTAAAAAGGCTGATATATAGGGCCCTGCTAGCAGGGCTGTACTCACTATAGAGTACCCCACTGCAGACTAGACAAATATAACATTCTGACATTGACCATCTGGACCGACGATTGACTCACCATCGAGGAATGGCAACAGGCGTAACCGTACGTACAGGTTACATGCAGCGACTCGGTAACAAGAAAGAAGTGCAGCAGTCAGAGTCACTGTAGAAATGACAGTAAAGCAATTAAAATAAGGGAATGTACCCCTCAGAGTACATGGCTAGCTAGGACTATTTATTATGTGTGTAATCTACGTTTTAAAACCCGCGTCTCATATTTCTTCCATCCAACCAAGAGTAATACGCTCGAAACCGAGTTACCACTCAAACCCGTCGCAACTTTGTTGAGTTCCGTTGGGAGCACCTGTGATTGGTTGCAGGCCCATCAGGTTGGGCAAGGCAGATGCACGACTGCCCAACCGTTTTTGCGAGAAACACACCACGTTGTGCGACGAAGGTTGGCAACACAGTGAAAGCAAGCGTAATACCACAGCGGAAAAATACGGGGAAAAGATCATACAGGGGCCGAACAGTGCCAGGGAGGTGTTCGAAAAGGAGCCGGTAGGCCCGAAACTAACCAAACCACTGCGCAAAAAGGTATTTGCAAAAGGGTATCATTCAATGAACGTATGTCCGTTAAAAGTTTGCATTTTCGCTCGCGCGTCATTTTTCATGGAAATGTTTACTGATTCATCACCTTCCACCCAATAGCGTCGTTTAGCAAGCCAGAAATTCTGAGAGCAGCAAAAAAAAACTAAAACCCCGAGGGGAACCTGGATGCATTTTTGGGATGGATCAACCCTAAAAACGGGAACCTTCGTTGTGTTTAGGGTTGATGCCTCCCTAGTCGCATCCATTTCCGAATGGGTAATATTTTTTTTTTCTGCGCGTTTCCGATCAGGGAGTGATATTTATCACCCATAATGAATTTGTTTTTGGACTCACAAATTAACACAGCAATATTTACTTCTAGAAGAACGCGATGTGCGCGTAGTAGTAGACCGCGGTTGTAACCATTTTTTCAATAAGTTGGACACAAAGTTTGGTGCTGATAGCATTTCTCTTTTAGTCACGGTTCGGCTTGTTCGCCTAGCCTCTTGGGCAGCTCGGGTCGAAAATCCTACGTTCGAGATTTTTTGGCCCTACTTTGGTCATCCCTCTGGCACTCTTCGGCCCCAGTTTGATCATTTCCCAAAATACGAGACTCCAGATCAATCCGGATGCAGCTGGAGAGGAGAGTGACCTCCACACAACCACTAAGATTTTTTTTCAACGACTTAGTTTAGGGTTTGAGCCTGTTCATGGCATTTCACGCAGATCTGCGTACGTACGGACCCTCGATCGACAGGGAGGATCGTACAGCCGATTGCTGCGCTAACCACAGGAGGGGAAAGCGGCACCATAGTTTAGTAGAAAAGAGAGAGTGTAGCAATAGCTGACCAGCGCACAAAACGGGACGATGAATTACGGAAGGAAGAATACGGGAAGACGCGACCGGATGGGAAAGGACACGAGGGGATTGGAAGGGACAGTATTGGTTACGACGGGACGGGACGGAACGTGGAAGGAGGGACGCGACGAGACGAGAGGGGACGGGATGGGATAAGGTGAGAGGGGAGAGAAGCGGACAGTATATGACGGGACAAGGAAGGAGGGGAAGCGACGCCCCAGGAACGGGACTGGCGACAGGAAACGGGAGGACACGCGCCGACGGAAAGGGACGAGAAGGGACGCGACGGTACCCCGCTTTCTCTTCGCCGCATCTCCCTTTCCCTTCCGCGGCGGAAGCGGAGAGGGAGAGGCATCAGCGGAAGCGGAGAGGGAGAGGCATCGGTGGAAGCGGAGAGGGAGAGGCATCGGCGGCAACGGATAGAGAGAGGCATCGGCGGAAGCGGTAGGCGGAGCGGTCGCCGCAATCGTCGCCGCGACGAGAGAGGAGGGGACGCGACGAGAGAGGAGGGGACGCGACAAGAGAGGAGGGGACGCGACGAGAGAGGAGGGGACGCGACGAGAGAGGAGGGGACGCGACGAGAGAGGGACAGGAGGAGAGCATCCTCGTCCCTTCCCAGCATCCCCCTTTCCCTTCCCAGCATCCCCCTTTCCCTTTCCCGCATCCCCCTTTCCCTTTCCCGCATCCCCCTTTCCCTTTCCCTCATCCCCCTTTCCCGTTCCCTCATCCCATTCTTCCCCTCGGTTTCCTTCCATCACCTCAGTTTCCTCTCATGCCTCACCTCAGTTTCCTCTCATGCCTCACCTCAGTTTCCTCTCATGCCTCACCTCTGTTTCCTCCCATGCCTCCCCTCGGGTTCCTCCCATGCCTCCCCTCGGGTTCCTCCCATGCCTCCCCTCGGGTTCCTCCCATGCCTCCCCTCGCTTTCCTCCCATGCCTCACCTCTGTTTCCCCACTTGTCTCCCCTCTGCTTCCCCACTTCCCGCCCACCTGTTGATGTGCTTGTTTCAGCATGACGCCACAAAGAACCAGTTCATCCTTAGTTTTGTAATTAATGCGTAGAATAAAAACTCAGTTGTTCGCAAAGTAGGCTTGCCAAACTCTCCTAGTCTCTTGACTCTCAATAGCATATTACAATTGATTCTCAGATTGCTTCAATGCATCCATATTTGAAGGTGCAATTGAGCACAGCACTGAATGAACTTATTGAATGTACCGTATACAGTTGAGTAATATCTTGAAGATATGGGGTACAACTATCCTCTAGCGCCGGTCTCGCCTTCGTGCATCTGGTCGTGCATCTGCTGCTTGCCTGTCCCTTACGTTCCGCCAGGCTCGCCTGGGACTAGCTAAGTCCTGCTTGTAGCTGGAACAAAGGGAGAGGTGGCGGGAGGAAGGAGGGATCTAGGGATGAGAAAAAGGGCAGTTGAGATGTGAAAGGTGGTAGGAAGGGGGGACGGGGAGAACAAAAGAGGGTAGGGGTGATGGAAGGAAGGGAGTTTGGCACGCAAGATGGGAAGGAAGGGACGGCAGATGAGAAGAACGGGAGAGGAGATGAGAAGGGACGGGACAGGAGATGGGATGGCATAGTAGGGGAAATGAAAAAAAAGGAGGGCAGATGGAGAAGGAAAGGGCTTTCCACACTCATGGCCGCCACCACAGCACTCACCTTCCCCACCTCCCCCTCCCGCTCTCCCTCCCCCTTCTCTTCCACCCCCCTCTCCCCTCTCTCTAACATCAAATGTTGCCGCAGCCCTGTCCCAACCCTCACCTTCCCCCGCTACCCTATTCCTCCTCTTCGAGCCCGATGGCGAGCAGGAGATGAGGGATGTTGGTGGAGGAGGGGGGTGAGATTGGGTTAACAGGGAGAGGAGGGGAGGAGGAGGGGGCAGCAATCATAGCGCAAGGAGCGTGGAGAAGGTTCTTGAAAGGCAGCAAAATGTTTCCACTCGGAATAAGAAGGGGGCGAAATAGGGGAGGCGAGTGCGGGATGGTGGGAGAGCTGGCGGGTTGGAGTCCGAGGAGAGGAGGTGTGGGAGAAGTGGGAGGACTACATTTAATCACACAGCAAGTGTGGCAGCTGGGGAAGGGAATGGGTGGGTGGAGGGGTGGTAGTGGAGCGAGCTGCTGATTGAGTGGATGGGCTGACCTGAGAACAGATGCGGGCGGAAGGAGGAGAGAGGGAAGGGGAGAGAGGGAAGGGGATAGTGGGTAGGAGAGGGGAGAGAGGGAAGGGGGGCGGGAGTAAAAGAGGACATGCTGAGGAAGCAGCGCGGAGATGAGTTGACGGCACTCAGGAGGGCACACAGTAGGGCAAACAGGTGAGGAGACAGTCGGGGAAGGGTAGAGTGGGAGGAAGGGGCACTGCAGGCTGCTGGTGCGCGTGGGCACGTGATGCCCTCCCCCACACACCCACCCTTACCCTCACCCTTGCCCATCTCTAGGCTACACACCCACGTGGCCTCTTCCTACCCCACTCTCCCCTGAATCTCCCCCCAACCCCACCACCCCCGCACTGTTCCCCCAGCATACCTGCAGCATGGAGACAGAGTCAGTGGCAGAGACAACACGCCCAGCGTGGCACACAGGTGGTGAGGGGGAGGAGGACGAGGAACGGCCGGCAGAGAGGAGCTTGGGTAGACGGGGGAGAAGAGGGAAGAGAGGGGGGTAGGCAAGAGCGCACTGTGCCATGCTCTTGAAGAATGATGCTGAGGGGCAGTGATGACGGAGACGGAGATCAACACGCGGACAGAAGGAGCGAAGCAGGGAGAGGTGGGGAAGGGAGTAGGGAGAGTGAGGGGAAGGGGGGGAGCAAGGGAGAGAGTGCGCAGCGAGGGGGGATCCTGGGCAGCTGGAGATGGCAGTGGAGGATAGAGCGGGGAAGAGGGAAAGGGAAACGAGAGTAGTCAGAGGGGGAAAGACGGGGGAAGAGGCGGGAAACGGCTATTGTTCACCAGCGCCACCCCACACACGCGCACACCGCAGACCTCGATTCACCGCATGAGGTCGGCGGGGCTACAGGAGGAGCTGCTGCGATATGGCGAAGCCACCTCGTCACGTAGGGCAAATTCCGCTCCTCGAGTCTCGCCGATTCCGCTCCTCGCGTCTCGCCAATTCCGCTATAAAACCTAAACCAATTCCGCCATTCGCGGTGGATCTTGGGGTGAAGTTGCGGTTGAGCGATGGACCTGGGGGTGAGCGATTCCTTCGCTTGGCGTAGATGGCCGTCGCGCCCCTGTTAGGCAATCGCGACTGCGAGCGTAGGTCGTGACCTCTCGCTGAAACTATTGAAGCATGTCATTTCCTATTTTGCGTTATCCCCTACCATACATGTTCGCTGTAACACGGGCTTATAGAGAAACGCCCTTAAAAGCACAATAAAGACCCGGGCTTATAAATGAATGCCCACAAAAGGGTCACTAGTAGGCTTATAAAAACGCCAACAATAAAACACACAAGGTAAACTAGCTCCTAAGATAGCTTTGAGTCTTCAAGACTTGGTAGTTGAAGCTTGGAGAGTGATAGAGTAGCTTCCACCAAAGGGATAGTTGGAGCTTAGAGCACTTGTGAGGGAAAATTTATGTACTTAGAGAGAAATCCCGTTTCCAAAATTGATCAATTGGAGTTGGGAATGAGAGAATGAGCCTTGGAGCTCCAAACCCCTTCCTCAATACCCCTTGGGGAGCTCCACCTCCTCCATGGCAACAAGGGCAAGGAGCTCCTTAAGGTGAGTTTGCTTAGGTGGCATGTTGGTTGGATTTGCAACCACTGAGAGCAACTTATTTGTGATAAGAATTGTCTGGTTACCTGTTGTAACTTGTAACAGCAGCATTGAAATGTTATTGGTTTGAATGTCCACCAATGCAAAGGTTGGGTTGGTTCCCAACCTTGTTTGTCTTTTAGTGGGTGGTGATTCACAATTGTGGACCAATCAACAATCATCCCTTCCAACCCTTTCTTCCCGTAAGTCGCTACCTTGCGTAGGTAGCGCTTTAGAGAGCCTTAGCTAGAATAGTCGCTAGGGTAGGTAGGTGATGCGTTACACTCCTCCCCCTCCAGTTGGCAACGTCCCCGTTGCCTTGGAGTGCTTCTTGGGGCGAGTGCTGCGAGCACGACGCACCACATTACGGCCAGGGTCAACACCATCCACTGGCTGTGGGGCTGCTCGGAGAGCCAAGTCTTCCATGTAAGCTTGAACTGCTGATTCAGTCAAGTGTTCTTCTGGCTCCCATGAATTGTGTTCAGGCCCGTAGCCTTTCCACTTAATGAGGAACTCACGTTTTGTTTTACGGCCGCGTTGTCGATCACGGTGCATCAGCACACGCTCGACCTCATAATATAGTTCCTCACCCAGGACGATGGTTGGTGGTGGTTGGTACGTGCCTTCGGCAACATACTTGTTTAACAGAGACACGTGGAAGACGTTGTGAATCTGCAAGGTGCCTGGTAGCTTAAGCTTATAAGCCACCGCCCCAACCCGCTTGATAACCTCGAATGGCCCAATCCAACGAGGAAACAGCTTTCGTGCCCCAGGTAGTTTGAGTCGAATGTTTTTCGTACTCAACAATACTTTGTCTCCCTCTTGAAAAGAGACGTCCCGACGTTTCATGTCGGCATAAGACTTTTGGCGTTGTTGGGCAAGTTGCAACCAATGACGAGCAGACTTAAGCGCTTCTTGCTGCTTGCCAATAAAGTCCTTAGCGGCTGGAATTTTCAAGCCACTGACCCCATGTGTAGCAGGTGTTGTGGGATGCCGACCACAATTTAAGATGAAAGGTTTTTCGTGGGTGCTTTCATGCACCGAGTTGTTGACAGCAAATTCCACTACTGGCAACAGCTCATCCCAATCATCTTGTGTTGGGCCAATAAACGAACGAAGCATTTGTTCAAGAGAGCGATTTGTGCGCTCGGTCTGTCCATCCGTTTGAGGATGGAATGCAGACGACATTTTCAGCTTCGTCCCCAGTGCCCGAATGACCTCCTGCCAGAAACGGCTTGTGAAACGAGGGTCTCGGTCAGACACTAGCACACGGGGTAAACCATGTAAACGAAAAACATGTGCCACAAACAACTTAGCCGTATCTTCCGCTGATACGTCAGTGCTTGTAGGCACGAAGTGCACCATCTTGGTCAACCGATCTACGAAGACGAGGGTCGCTGTATGACCATCTCGTGTTTTAGGGAGGTCAGTGATGAAATCCATTGACACACTCTCCCAGGGTTCCTCAGGGATTGCAAGTGGTTGAAGCAAACCAGCGGGTTTTTGTGTGCTCGGTTTATTACGTGCACACGTGTCGCAGCGTGTAACAAACTGCTGGACTTCATTGCCCAACCCTGGCCACTAGTATACGTCAGACAATGCCCATCGGGTTTTCTTAACTCCGAGGTGTCCACTGTATTTACTGGCATGCACTTCTTGTAAGATGTCATTCCGCAGGTTCCCCACATGTGGTACTACAATTTCTTTTCCGTGCCACCAGAGCTCATGCTCCCACGAGAGATCCTTCGTATTCTGTGGGTTCTGAAACCAGGAATCAATCTGATAGCCTGTGCGGATTCGTTTCAGAAAACCACTGAAGGTAATCTCACTCACTCGGGCGACAGCGAGGATACCAAAGTAAGCTGCAAAGACGGCAGCATGTTCGGTGTCCTCTAGCCCGTTTGCTGCCCCTATCGGCTGTCTGCTGAGGGGATCGGCCATGTTCGTCGAGCCTGCCCGATATCGAATATCGTAGGTGAATCCACTAAGGAGTTCAGCCCATCGGGCTTGGCGACGAGTGAGGGTGGCTTGGCTGGAAAAGTAGGTGTTTGGACAATGGTCGGTTGTGACAACAAAGTCCACACCTTCCAAGTAACATCGCCATGTTCGTAGCGCATGGACGACTGCCAACAGTTCTTGTTCGGAAGTCGTATAGCGCTGCTCTGCCGGGGAGAGCTTTCTACTCTCGTATGCCACAGGGCGTCCTTCTTGCAGGAGGACTGCGCCAATCCCTGCTGTTGAGGCGTCTGTGACTACCTCGTAGGGTTTTGTTGGATCTGGTAATACCAGAACGGGAGCGTTGGTCAACTTTTGTTTGACCGCTTCAAATGCCTCTTGGCATTGTCTGGTCCATTCCCACGCAGTACCTTTTCGAGTAAGTGCGGTCAATGGGGAAACGATGGTTGAATAATTCTCCAAGAAACGGCGAAAATAGTTGGCTAAGCCCAGAAAGGACCTAACTTGACCCACGTCCTGTGGAACGGGCCAGTTCTCAACAGCCGCCACTTTCTTGGGATCGACTTTCAATCCACTGTTCCCCACGAGATGTCCCAGATATTCTAGTTCGCGCTTGTAGAAGTGACACTTCCATAAGCGAGCATAGAATTTGTGCTCTCGTAGTTTGTTTAACACCCATTTTAGGTGTTCTGTGTGCTCTTGTTCGGTTTTGGAATAGACCAGTATATCGTCGAGGTAAACCAAGACGAACTGACCGATTGCCTCGCGAAAGACATTATTCATCGCCCTCTGAAAAGAGGCCGGTGCATTGGTCAGACCGAAACTCAGCACACGCCATTGAAAATGCCCAAACGGCGTGCGAAACGCTGTTTGGGGTACATCGTCGTTGGTGATGCGCAACTGATGGTACCCCTGTGCGAGGTCCAATGCGCTAAACCATTGGGCACCCTGGAGGCGATCAAACAGATCCTCAATGCGAGGCAGCGGATATCGGTTCTTAATTGTGATCTTGTTTAAGGCGCGATAGTCGACGCACATGCGTAGGCCTCCGCCCTTCTTGTTAACAAACAAGATTGGTGCACCGTATGGTGATACGCTTGGTTCAATCCATCCCTTTTTCAGATAATCCTCGATTTTTTGCTTAGCCTCTTCGTACTCAGCTGGACTGAGGCGATACAGAGGTCTAAACGGTGGTGCCTTTCCAGGCTCCACTGGAATGGTATGACCCACAGCGCGGTCTGGGGGAAGTCCATCAGGAATTGGTTCGAAAACCTCCTTGAATTCCTCCGCCAGAGCCTTCATCTGAGGAGGAAAGTCCTCGATCTCAGGAGACGATTGTGTGGTTTCCTCTAGCTGTACAACAAATAGTGTATCAGCTGATTTTGCATCCTGCCCAAATTGATTCGCAAGGGCGAACTGGACGTCGGGGCGATCAGAACGTGGGGCATCAACAATGTTTACATCCCCTGAAACATGCCACCGAACCACAACACCATTCTTAGTGAAAGTTACTGTGTTGTGTTGAAAATCAAGGATGACCTCATTAGCTCGAAGCCAGTCCATTCCGAGAACAAGGTCTACGCCTGCCAGTAATGGAACAACGTAAACGTTAATGGTCTCGTTATAGTCTTGAATTTCCATATTGATACGTGTCCGCCCTTTGCTTGGGATGACTCGATCGTCACCAAGACGAATGGGGCAAGACGGCCCTTCAACGAGGACCCCACGACTTGTGGCTCTGTTTTCATCGAAAAGAGAAACGGTCGCGCCCGTATCAACAAGAATCTTTGCTTCATCCCCGTCTATTCGACCCACCAGCAATAGGTTTTGTTGATGTTTTGGTCGAATGGGGCATGCAACGATGCGAGTTGGTGGGAAATAGTATGCCTTGACATTGTGCTTTGCTCGACCATAGGATCGAGTGTCAGGCCACCACATGTGATATCCCTTGTCCCACGCGGCAAGTACCGTCCATCCCTTAAGCATGGGGAAGTGTTTGCCTTTGATTGTTCGAGTCACCAGACTGACCGAAGTCAATGGGTGCTCCTGGGTGCAACGACCCACCAGTTCCATTACGGAGGGCAATGCATCTACGTTGCAGCAAATGACAGAGAACTTATCTCTCAGTGTTTTGATAGATAGTTGTGTGATGTTGGTGCAATCGAGGTAGGAAAACAGAATTTTCACTCAAAGAAGAAGCAAACAAACAAGAGATTTTGCACTCAGCAAGTTTCTCTAGCTTTAATAGATCATCTTCACGAAGGACGTAAGCTTCATCACCTCGATCTACCTGTCCAGCTAGGTACCCACACCCTAGTTGGACTTGTGAAAATCCTGGCGCGAGCCTGAAGGTCCATCTCCCTTCTTGTTCGCCTGCTGCGGCTTGCCAGAATCCTCAGACCTTTTCAGCGTACGGCACTGTCCCTTCGTATGACCCTTCTTCTTGCAGTAGGTGCAGAAAGGAGTGCCGTTCCTCTGCTGGCCACCCTGGTGAAAGGGCTTCTTAGGCTGAGGGCCATTCTGCTGGCTCTGCGGCTGGAAAGGCCTCTTCTTCCAAGGGCCCTTCCCATTAGAAGGTTGCGCCGCATTGTTCTGGCCACTAGGGCCTTCATCCCCGTTCTCCAGGCGACCCTTGGCGGCATTGAGGCACGTGCGGACGCTCACGTCAAGCTCAATGACAGCTGTTTTGAGCTCCTTGTACGTAGCATACTGGTTCATGCCCAGCACCAGCCTCTCGCGAAGCCACTGCGGTAAGCCTTCGTAGAACGACGACATTGCCTCGTTCTCAGTGAGAGCGACAGTCAGGAGTAGCATAGTCCGTTCGAATTCATTGGCGTACTCCTGAACAGTGCGATTACCACACTACATGCTCTTGATGCGGCTGCGCACTTCCAGGTCAGTCTTTTGCACATGGAAAGCATCCTTCATCGCGCTGCAAAAATCGGACCATCCGAAAGTGGCCGACGTTGCCTTAGCAAGCTTCATAGTGCTGTAGACTGTGTTACGTGCAGTCTCATCGAGAGCACCAGTAGCAGCAATAACACGTGCGTCAGAGCGCACGTTGTGGATGGAAAGCATTTCCTCCACAAGATGAAGCCAAGATTCCACGTTCGTCTTGCCATGAATGAAAATCGGCAAGGCAGTGGGGAGCGACCCAAATGCGGATGCGTCAGGCGACATCTGCTGCTCTGTTGGAGCTCCGGAAGAAGTAGAAGGCCGCCCATTGTTAGGAGGGGGGGCGATATATTGGTCCCCTCCTGAGCTCCCTATACTGAGCTTCCAGCGTCGTGCAAGTCGATTCAAGACTGATGCACGTAGCACTTAGCTGCTGCAGGGTGTCCTCAAGGCTCTTGATCTGGTTGTTATTGAGGCCAAGAGACCTCTTAAACTGACGAGCCTCGGCAGTGACTTTGGTAAGCTGAGCCTGGATTGTTTCAATTGAAACTTTCTGCTCAGCAACTTGAGCCTCA